ACCACTGGGTTAGCTGCTTTTAATCAATGCAATTAGATCACCATAAAAGGGGGTAAAGGAGCCCATAAAATTAAAACTGCCTCTCCCATCAAAAAATAATAAAGGAAAACACTCACACTCCTGCAAGTAACCCTAACAACTACCTTCATTCACAGTGCTGTTCACTTAAACCATGATGGGGGGAAAGAATAAAAGCAGAGCGGACCAGGCTTTTAAATGCTTTGCAACAATCCAGATGATACTTCTAGCCTCTGCCCACGCGCTGCAACAGTGAATCAGCACAAGGCACGGATTTGCTAATGCGCATTTATTTATTTTTAGTTGAGTTTATTGGGGTGACATTGGTTAATAAAATTACGGAGGTGCTAATGTGCCTTTAATCACCAAAGGACTCAAGATGTGTGGGCTTATATTCTGTACTGTCTCTAAGACGGTGACCGTTAAATGCAAACAAAAAAGAAGAAGTGATGCACACCCGATGCTCAGATTGATTTAAATAGTGTTCCTGGCATAGAGCCTCGGCCATGTCTACAGCTGGGCTTTGGTAGTTTTCCACTGCTCAGCTGTTTCATCTGCTAGCAACGCCGGTGCAATGGATCGTCTGCGTTGGGATATGTATATAAATTCATATTAGTTGGCTTCAAGGTTCTAAGTATTTACCATCTGTGAGTGGACTGCAGTAGGTTTGCTTACTTATTGTCATTTCCTGTGAGAATGTGAGCTCAGGAGTCCTAGGAATGGAGTTCTGTTCCCTGTCAGCCTCCCCCATCCTCCTGCACATGCTGGTGAAGAGGTGCCCTGTTGAAATAGGACATGTGGGATGTTTCAGGACACCGTGGTCTTTGTGGAGGTGGTTGGGAACTTCACCTGGGAAGAGTGGGCTTTACTGGATGGTACTCAGAGGAATGGAAAACACTCACACTCCTGCAAGTAACCCTAACAACTACCTTCATTCACAGTGCTGTTCACTTAAACCATGATGGGGGGAAAGAATAAAAGCAGAGCGGACCAGGCTTTTAAATGCTTTGCAACAATCCAGATGATACTTCTAGCCTCTGCCCACGCGCTGCAACAGTGAATCAGCACAAGGCACGGATTTGCTAATGCGCATTTATTTATTTTTAGTTGAGTTTATTGGGGTGACATTGGTTAATAAAATTACGGAGGTGCTAATGTGCCTTTAATCACCAAAGGACTCAAGATGTGTGGGCTTATATTCTGTACTGTCTCTAAGACGGTGACCGTTAAATGCAAACAAAAAAGAAGAAGTGATGCACACCCGATGCTCAGATTGATTTAAATAGTGTTCCTGGCATAGAGCCTCGGCCATGTCTACAGCTGGGCTTTGGTAGTTTTCCACTGCTCAGCTGTTTCATCTGCTAGCAACGCCGGTGCAATGGATCGTCTGCGTTGGGAGCACAGAGCCTGGGTCCATGGCAGAACTGTGCGCCTCTACAGTGCTGGGGATCTCATCTCAGGACCCCATGCTTTTTATTAGCACAAATTGTCCTGAGGCGAGGTGGAGATACACACTTCAAAGGGTCAGGGTTTCGTATACAGAGTCCATTGTTAGATTGGGGAGAATTAGTCTATGGCTGTTCAGGTGTTTGGCCAGTAGGAGGCAATAACATGTAGATTAAGATGCGCTGAGCTGTCTGGCAGCAAACAATCAATGTAATGTATCCTATTCGGGTTTGGGGAAATGCCATCAGCCATTCCCAGATTCAGCCCTGCTGTCATGCTGGAATTGGCTTCCGGCAAGAAATGAATTTTTCCATCTCTTCTGTTGTAGCTTGTCCTCCCCCCCCCCCTTTATTAGAAAACTCTCTGTACTGAGAAGTCATAGAACACTTGACTCTAACTTGTTCTGTGTTCTATTTAAATTTGCATCAAGTTGGTTATGTTACATCAAGTCGATAAAAGGACCTTCATTGTCCCATTTGGATAACCATTTCTCATCCACTGTGTGTTAAAATGCCCGTCACTTCCACCCTGGGGCAGTGCCTGCTCCAGCAGATTCATGCCCCACAAATAGTCCAGTGTCAGTGACCTCCCTGGCTCCCTCCTTTGGCTGCACTGTGCTGGCCCAGTTACCCTTGTGACTTAAATGGCTTCATGTGTTTCTGGGAAAGTGCTTCCACCTTGTTCTGTAGAAATGTAGCTCTTTAGGCATTTGCATTTTGTCATTTTAGTTTTAACAAGATTTTCATAAATTAAAAAACAAACGAAAAACTCCCACCGGGTTTTCGGTTTAATGGAAGTTTATTAAAACTCTGCACCAGTTTGGGAGAGTTGCTATGATGGTGGCTTTGTTTCCATTCAGGGAACATGCACAGTCTTTTCCATTCTTTCTTTATGCTTTGATGTCATTGACTCTGTTTTACAGTTTCTCATTATGCTCACTGTATATCCTTCAGTAGACATTGTACTGGAAAAGCCCACAGTTGTCCTCCTGTCTTTCTCCTTTACTTTCACACCGAACACTTCACTTCTGACACATTTGGCCACCAGATAAAGGAGCATTTCCACTCGAAAAGCATTTCTGTGACACCAGCCGGATGTCCTGAAGTCTCAGTTCTGACACACTCTGTTACCTGGAGATAGGATCAGATCCCAGAGGCCAAGAGCTCAAGACCCATGAAACTGCCCTTAGTGCAGATGCTCCTCACAAATAGGTCCCCAGGGTACCCACAGCGTCTGTGGACTTGGATACAAATTGAGCTTCTCAGGACCTCCTCCTCCATTAATTTGTTAGAGCAGCTCTCAAAACTCAGGGAAACACTGACTTATGTTTACCGGTTTATTAAAGGAGATAATAAAGGATACAGATGAATAGCCAGGTGAAAAGAGGCACAGGGTGAGGTCTGGGAGGGACCTGAGTGCAGGAGCTGTCCCTGTGGAACTGGGATGTGTCACCGTCCAGATGTGGGTGTGTTCCCCCACCTGGACGCTTTCTGAACCTTGTATTGGGATTTTCTGCAGTCTTCCTGACGTAGGCATGATCAAGTATAAACTCCATTTCAGCCCTATCCCTCCCTGGAGGATGTGATTAGATCTGAACATTCTAACGTTCTAATATTGGCTGGTCCTTCTGATGGCAGCTTCCTTCCAGGAGCTCCCCAGAATCACCTCATTAGAACAGAGATGTTCATAGTGCTCTTATCACTTAGGAAATTGCACGGGGTTTAGGAGCCTTGTGTCAGACACCAGAGAACAGTATGTGTGTGTGTGTCTCACAGACATACTTTAGGACTTTAAGAAAATTTGTAATAAATGAAAATTTATCAATATAGTTTTTTATTGATTAAGGTATTGCATGTGTCCTTATCGTCCCCATTGTCCCCTCCCACTCATACCCTCACCCCCCTGGTTTCTGTGTCCATTGGTTAGGCTTATATGCATGTATACAAGTCCTTTGGTTGTCAATATAGTTTTAATGACAATGAGATGTCACCACAGGCAAAGGAGTGGATAAAAAAGCTGTGATACATTTACACCACGGATACTGTGCAGCAGGAAAAGATAAGAATCTCTTACCCTTTGAGACAGCATGGAGGGACCTGGAGAGTATCATGCTAAGTGAAATAAGTCAGTCAGAGAAAGACAAGTATCACATAACCTCACCCACATGTGAAATCTAATTAACAAAATAAACTGGTGACTGGAGTAGATCCAGAGACATGGAAGCATGGAACACAGTGCAGAATCTCGGAGGGAAGGTGGGGATTTTCTGCAGTCTTCCGGACGTAGGCATGATCAAGTATAAACTCCATTTCAGCCCTATCCCTCCCTGGAGGATGTGATTAGATCTGAACATTCTAACGTTCTAATATTGGCTGGGAGGTAATCATCCAAAGACCTTATATGCAAATATACATAACCCATGGACACAAACAGTGGGGTGGTGAGGAGGGTGACAATGGGGGGAAAAGGGGACATATGTAATACTTTCAACAATACAGTTTTTTTTTTAAGTACATATGTTGTTACTTAATGTGATTTACTGATCAATGAGTGAAGTTACTAAGGAAAAATAAATTAAAAATAAAATTACATCGTTTCACATAAAAAAATAAAAACCACTTAATCTAATCACTATGCTGTTACATCTGAAACTAACACAAAATAATATTGAATGTAAACTGTAATTTAAAAAAACTTTATACATTTTAAATACTTTAAAAGAGCAAAATATAAAAGGGATAATATGTTTAACACTCAGAATTTACAAATATAAACAAAGTTTTGCCATTTTATTTTAATTTTTAAAAATATGTTTTTATTGATTTCAGAGAAGGGAGAGGGAGAGAGAGATAGAAACATCAATGGTGAGAGAGAATCACTGATTTGCTGTCTCCTTCATGCCCCAGACTGGGGAATGAGCCTGCAACCTGGGCATGTGCCATGAACAGAATTGAACCATGACCTCTTGGTTCATAGGTCGGTGCTCAACCACTGAGCAACACTGGCCAGGCAAAATTTTGCTATTTAAAAAAAAAGGGAGTACCAGCAACTCTTAACTGTTGATGATATTCAGCAAATTACTTTGGCTTTCTGAGCCTGTTTTCCTAACTGCAAATTTGACTAAAAAAATCACTAAATTATGAAAAAAAAAAAGTCCAAGGTAATAAAATTTGTGTAGTATTTTAGGGACAAAGAGAAATATTTCTTGTCTCAAGTTTTCATATCAGCAACATGAACCAGAAATTAATATACTGGAAATCACTGTTAAGGATGAGCTATTTACAAAGTCAGTATCATATATTTTTTTAAAATATATTTTATTGATTTTTTACAGAGAGGAAGGGAGAGAGATAGAGAGTTAGAAACATCGATGAGAGAGAAACATCGACCAGCTGCCTCCTGCACACTCCCCACTGGGGATGTGCCCGCAACCCAGGTACATGCCCTTGACCGGAATCGAACCTGGGACCTTTCAGTCCGCAGGCCGACGCTCCATCCACCGAGCCAAACTGGTTTCGGCAAAGTCAGTCTCATATTTACAATAATTAAAGATTTAATTCCTGCTCTGAATTTTCATGTACAAAATAAGTGAAGTGCTATATCTGAAGATTTTTCCTTATTCTTTCCATCCATACAGTTTTATCTCTAGTGTGTTTGCTCACACCACAAATTTTAAAGGAAGAATGAAGGCATCCCATGGTTCTTGTATTCAGTTTCTGTTCACTATATGTCTTCACATGTGCCTGCAGATACTCAAGATACGTGAAAACCTTCCCACATTGCTGACATTCAGGTATTTTTTTCACTGTGCGTTCTCACATGTTTTCGCAGGGATGTGGGATACCTGAAGGCTTTCCCACATTGCTGACATTCATCAGGTTTCTCCCCAGTATGTGTCCTCACGTGTACCCGCAGGTTGTCAGGATACCTGAAGGTTTTCCCACACTCCTTACATTCATAGGGTTTCACCCCAGTGTGTGATCTCATATGTCCTTGAAGGGAGCAGAGACGACTGAAGGCTTTCCCACATTGCTGACACTCAAAGGGCCTCTCCCCACTGTGCATTCTCACATGTATTCGAAGGGATGAGAGAAAACTGTACGATTTCCCACATTCTTTACATTCATAAGGTTTCACTCCACTGTGTATTCTCATGTGACCTTGAAAATGTTGAAGCTGCCTAAAAGCTTTCCCACACTCTTTACATTCATAGGACTTCTCCCCAGTGTGTGTTCTGGCATGTTTTTGAAGGTAAGAGTGACTAGTGAAGGCTTTGCCACACTGCTGACATTCATAGGGTCTCTCCCCAGTGTGTGTCCTCACATGTACTCGCAGGGATGCAGCATACCTAAATGCTTTCCCACAGTGCTGACATTCACAGGGTCTCTCCCCAGTGTGTGTCCTCACATGTACTTGCAGGTTTGCAGGAAACCTGAAAGCTTTACCACATTGCTGACATTCATAGGGTTTCACTCCACTGTGTGTTCTTACATGCCCTCGAAGGGAGGAGTGACGACTAAAGGTTTTCCCACAGTGCTGACATACATAGGGTCTCTCCCCACTGTGTGTTCTTGCATGTTCTTGCAGATTTGTGAGATACCTGTAGACTTTCCCACACTCCTTACATACATAGGGTTTCACTCCACTGTGTGTTCTTACATGTCTTCTAAAGTATTTAAGACTACTGAAAGCTTTCCCACATGCCTTACACTCATAGGCTTTCTCTCCAGTGTGAGTTCTCACATGTCCTGTAAGGTAAAAGTAATACATAAAGGCTTTTCCACATACTTTGCACACATGGATTTTCTGTCCACACGGACCTCTCACATGTCCCCGAAAGGATGAGTGGCAGGTGAAAGCTTTTCCACATTTCTTACACTCAATAGAGTTTTTATTACTGAGACTCTTCACATATTTCTTAGCTGCTCTCCCAGTATCCTGACATTTATAGGGTTTCTCCACAAGATCAGTTTCCTCCTGAGTACTCAGGCATGAAACCAACCTGTAGGGTTGTCCACATTCCTCACAGGGATGAGGTTCATGTCCAGTGGGAGATCTCTGCTGATTTATAAGGAAAGAACAATCCTTGAAGACTTTTCCACACTTAGTGCATTCATAGTGTTTAACTCCAGGGATATGTGTCTCATCCACAAGATCTGTGATCTGGTTCAGGATGTCTCCACATTGGTTACCTTCCTTAGTTTCACAGAGACTCTCCACAAAATGACTTCTATTCAAAACAGGAAACACACTATTAGTGATTAATGCTCATAAGTGATTTCTTTATTACAGATTATTGATGGTTCTAATGAGCACATATTTACCATTTTCAATGCACGGGTATGTTTTTGGTACTGTCTGCATTATTCTATCATGAAACAAGCTTATTGCTCTGGCTGAGCTAAAATAGGGCCATAACTTCCAGTGTTTCTTACATACGGGGTCTTCTGATCATGGTTTCCATCTGAGTTCTGTTTCAGACACTCAATAGCTACATCACATGTATGAAAATAGTGACTTGTGAAAATTCTCTGAGTACCCTACTGATTAGCTAGCTAGGTTTGTACTTTTTAATTTCAAGTTAGTCTAATACTACTGAGATCTCCTGTTCCCCTGTTCCACTCACCCCAGATGCCTCTCTTGAGGTTGGTGCTCATCTGCAATGTTATAAACTGTGAAGTTTTCTCTAAAAGCAGACCAGGAATCACTCCTTATGAATTGTAGTATTTTCTCTTCACTGGACATTTCATTCTCCAAATTATCCTGCCCAGGACATGATGCTTGGGTTTTAACTTGAGTGAAACAATCTGTAACAACTGATAGCATAATTAAATTAAATTCCTGGGAAAGAAATGATGAAATAAAGAACAATGTATGAATTTATTTCCATATACTGATCCAAAAGTATAAATAATTTTTATAAGGAAGAATAAGTTTATAAGCAAAGAAAAACTCTAAGGACCTTTGCTATTTGGGACTTTGACAATAATAGGAAAAGTGAGTCAAAATGGCAGCCTGGTCACTAAGAAATACTATTAAAAAAAAAAAGATAAAGACCAAATAAATATAAATGCTATAAAAAATGCAAAGTAGGGAGGAACGGCAGAATGCACATGCCCGAATGTTCCCTTTACAGGAGATGCCAAAGTCTTCTCAAGTGAGTGAGGATACAATAAAAAGTCCAACAGGAACGCAGGGTGAGTCACGTTTCTAACAGATTTGTCCAAACAGCAATCCCTTATCCAGAATCTATTCCTCCTGCGGGTTGTTGTTCTCTGGAGTTCTCACACACAGAGGCCCTTAAATGAAGCCTCTCTTCACAGCCCCCAGCTGCCCTTAGGAGATTGATGCCCTGCCCCTGGAGAAAAGGTCCTCATGATGGAGGATGGAGGGCAACACACAATCTATGAGAAGGGCCCATACTTGGGCTTCATGGATGAGAACCAAAAGCTGTTTTCACAGCAAACTGGAGACTATGCTCATTCTTACAAAAATTAGGGGGCCTCAGACTTTTGTTCAAGAGAAATAAAAAGTCAACTTAATATATAAAACTTTTTTTTATCATGAAAAAGATATTTGACTCTAGATATGTTCCATGAAGGCTTGGATTACATAAGTCTTTTTTAAAAAAAAAATTATATTGCCCTTCCTTGGACCCAATAAAAAAAGAACAATTGTAAGAAATACTTTTTCCTTACAAGACTAAGTGAGGGATAAAGCCATCCTTACCCACTGAGGCCAGGTTCCTGAAGGTCTCTAGCATCACTTCTCTGTAGAGCTTCCGCTGAGCACCATCCAGCAAAGCCCACTCTTCCCGAGTGAAGCACACAGCCACATCCGCAAAGACCACCGTGTCCTGAAACATCCCACATATTCTGTTTCAACAGGGCACCTCTTCACCAGCATGTGCAGGAAGATGGGGGAGGCTGGAACAGAACTCAATTCCTAGGACACCCCAAGCTCATGCTCTTTTGGGAAATGACAATAAGCAAGCAAATAAAATGCATTATAGTCAATAGTGGTAAGAGCTTGGAACTATGAAGCAAAGTACAATGGGTGATATAAACTTATCCTATATAATGAAAGTGTAATATGCAAATTTTCCCTGCAACTAGGAGTTCCTCCAGGAGTTCGACCGGGAGTGGGGCCGGCCGGGGGGAAGGGAGGAAGGCCCTGTCCAGCAGCCAACAGCCACTAAGGACTCTACCCGTGCATGAATTTTGTGCACTGAGCCTCTAGTCCAGCAGTTCTCAACCTGTGGGTCGCAACCCCTTTGGGGGTGGAACAACCCTTTCACAGGGGTCGCCTAAGACCATCGGAAAACACATATATAATTACATATTGTTTTTGTGATTAATCACTATGCTTTATTTTATTTTTTTTAATATATTGATTTTTTTACAGAGAGGAAGAGAGAGGGATAGAGAGTTAGAAACATCGATAGGAGAGAAACATCGATCAGCTGCCTCCTGCACACTCCCCACTGAGGATGTGCCTACAACCATGGTACATGCCCTTGACCAGAACTGACCCCGGGACCCTTCAGTCCGCAGGCCGACGCTCTATCCACTGAGCCAAACTGGTTAGGGCTAATCACTATGCTTTAATTATGTTCAATTTGTAACAATGAAATTGGGGGTCACCACAACATGAGGAACTATATTAAAGGGTCGAGGCATTAGGAAGGTTGAGAATCACTGCTCTAGTCCATACATAATTTAAAAGAATGGCTTTTACTGTTATATAGCAGATTCTGAGTATGTTAAAGACTGAAAATGAGTCCTGGCTGGTTTTTCTCAGTGGTTAGAGCATCAGCTTGTGGACCTAAGGGTCTCAGGTTCCATTTCTGTCAAGGGCACATGCCCCGGTTGCGGGTATGCAGTAGGGGGTATGCAGGAGGCAGCCTATCAATGGTTCTCTAATCATTGATGTCCCTCTCCTTTCCTCTTTGAAATCAATAAAAAATATATATATCTCAATAGAAAAAAAATATCCTGGGGTGAGGATTAAATAAAAGACTGAAGATGAAGTCATTGTTGAGATCATGTAGAATCAGATACTTGGCTCCTCAATAGTTACTGTCTCCAAGACCTGGAACCAGGAAGTCAGACAGTCATGAACACTGAGATCTCCAGTGCTGCTTGATCTAAACAGCTCTCACCTTGTAAGTCAACAGTGTTCTGGAGCCTGGTCTAGTCCCCTCATATCTGACAGAGGCAGAGACACAGCCCCTCCCCCGATGAGGTGGACACTGTGGGCATAGGTGTAGGCCAAGCCTGGGGCCTGGCACACCGGTTGGGTAAAAGGGGAACTTGGTTCCTGAAGAAATTTTGAAGCCAGCACGGCCTGGAAAATAAACAACCTTGTGCCTGGAATATGAGAAAAATCGTCCCACAGAGAAGAATTACTGAAGGATCTAATGGTAATAGAGCTAAAGACGACTCTAACAGAGAGAAAAAAACTACCTAATGTGTGTTTTAGAGCAATGTTGGGTTGGATGACATCACATCAATAAAATAAAGGGCAAAAAATTATTTTAAAAGTTGAAATTTTTAAAAACTGTGTTCTCTCAAAATCTAAACAAACAAACAAAAACAAAAACCCACACAAAACCAAACCCACAATTGTATCAAACACAGAAAAGGCAACACTACATCAACCAGGGTTAAACTAGGAATTGCTAATCACATACCTGATACCAGACATAAATACATACAGAAAACTCATAGGACCACAATTTTTTTTTAAATATATTTTATTGATTTTTTACAGAGAGGAAGGGAGAGAGACAGAGAGTTAGAAACATCGATGAGAGAGAAACATCGACCAGCTGCCTCCTGCACATCTCCTACTGGGGATGTGCCCGCAACCCAGGTACGTGCCCTTGACCGGAATCGAACCTGGGACCTTTCAGTCCACAGGCCGACGCTCTATCCACCGAGCCAAACCGGTTCTGGCAGGACCACAATTTTTAAAAAGGCAACAAGATAAAGACAAATAATATAATTAAATAATGGGCAAAGACTGTGAGCAGATACTTCTTAAAAGGAAAAACTCATATGGCCAATAAGCACCTAAAAGATTCTAGCCATCAGTCATCAAGAAAATGCAAGTCAAAACTAAAGCAGGTATCTGTTCACACTTCTAGGATGGCTGTGAGACAGACAGACAAGTTCTGGTGAGGATGTGAGGAAGTCAGAACCCTCACACATAGCTTATGGGAAGTAAAGCAGTGAAGCCACCTTGGAAGCCAGCCCAGCAGGTCCTCAGAATGATGAACATGTCTACCACAAAACACAGCAACTCCACTCCTGTGTGTTTACATAACCAAGAGAAGGAAAAACAACTACCAACACAAAACTAGTAAAGGTGTCCCAAAATTCACGCAAGAAGTAATTTTGGTCCTAACCGGTTTGGCTCAGTGGATAGAGCGTCGGCCTGCGGACTGAAGGGTGCATATACACTTTTGGGGGGTTACCTTAAGAGAAAAGAGGCAGGTTCTAACACGAGTAACTTGTAGCCACGTGGCATGTGCTTGTTAAAGGCAGTAAATACCTAATGGGCCCACTTGTCTATACAATAATATTCCTTTCAGGTGATAGGAACCTGCTTATCAAGAGGTGAATTGGTACTCAGCTAGCTTCGTAATGATGACATGGCCATGTTAAGTAATGAGAAAAATTTAGGCTAACAACTATGCTTTTTATTGTTATGTTAGACTGTACTTTTTATACTTGTTTTAAAAAAGCCCTGGCCTGTGTTTCTCAGTGGTTAGGGCGTCAGCCGGCGCACCAAAGGGTCTCGGGTTCAATTCCTGTTCAAGGCCATGTACCTGGGTTGCAGGTTCAGTCCCTGTCTTGGATCAGAGCCAGCGTGGAGGCAACCAATCAATGTGTCTTTCTCACATCAATCTCTTTCTTTCTCTCTCTCTCTCTCTCTCTCTCTCTCAAAATCCATAAATAAAAAATTTTTAATGTCCTAATATAAGAATAATTGCACAATTCTGTAAATATGCCAGATACCAATGAATTTTATAAATTAAATAGTTAAACTTTATAGTATGTAAATTATATCTCATATAAAACTGTTGTTAAAAAGTTCAGACAGCCCTGGCCTGGTGTCTCAGTTGATTGGAGCATCATCCCATACACCAAAGGGTTGTGGGTTCGATTCCCAGTCAGGGCACATACCTAGGTTGCAGGTTGGAGCCCAGGTCAGGGGGCATACAGGATCCATGTTTCTCTCTCACCAGAATAGAACCTGAAACCTTTTGGTGCACAGGATGAAGATCAATCATCTGAGCCACTCCAGCTGAGCTATTTTATTATTTTCCATATGAATGACTGTAAATCTATTTTTGCCCCACCCTGTATATCCTCCTTAAACTAATGGCATTTTCATTCAAATTCCATTGAATTTAACCAAATAAATTAAGAGTAGGAAAATGGAACAAAACTTCAGATGTTTCTGAATACACCGAGGAGCTATTACCACTTATGGGAAGAGATTTTTTTTAATATTAGATGTAATGGGATAAATGTATAGAATCAGTAAACATACCTGAGATGACACAAAACGACACCTGAGAATGTCTGTGTTCTTTAAAGGAACAAAACCAGCTGATTCTACTATCCCCACATACTAAATGCAATTCTCAAAGGGTTCCTCGGCCAGGTACTAAATATTCAAAAATCAGCGCTTCAGGGGCAGGGAGTGGCATGGAGGAGGTCGATGGAGGAGGAAGGGGGGAATCTGTAATATTTTCAACAATAAAAATAAATTTAAATAAATAATCCCTGGGACATTCCCCTGTGTCTGCCTCCACCCACCCACAGCTACAAACCCTCCACAGAGTATTACCAAGACCAGAAAGGGACAATTCAAAAAAAATACTCAAAGGCAACGACATTCGTAAATATAGAGGCAAAAGGAGTTTTAAAAGGCAATCTAGCCCGGCTGGTGTGGCTCAGTGATTGAACGTCAACCTATGAACCAGGAGGTCATGGTTCAATTCCTGGTCAGGGCACATGACCCGGTTGCAGCCTTGATTCCCAGTGTGGGGGGTGTGCAGGAGGCAGCCAATCAATGATTATCTCTCATCATTGATGTTTCTCTCTCCCTTCCTCTTGGAAATAAAAAAAACCCAACATACTTTTTTTTTAAAAAGACAGTCTAGTCTAGCCCTAGTTGGTTTGGTGCAGTGAATAGATCATGGGCCTGCAGCCTGAAGGGTCCCAGGTTCGGTTGCAGGCTCTATCCCCAGCCCAGTCAGGGTGCATTCGGGAGGCAACCCATCAATTTCTCTCTCTCTCTCTCTCTCTCTCTCTCTCTCTCTCTCTCTCTCTCTCTCTCTCTCCCTCTCTCTCTCTCTCTGTCTCTCCCTCTCCCACTCTCTCTAAAAATCAATGGAAAAATATCCTTGAGTGAGGATTAACAAAGAATCTAATAAATAAATGAATAAAAAGAATATTAACTCAAAACCAAGTTCATTTCGTTCCAGAAAGACAAGATGGAGTAAATATTGTTTGCCCTAGCCAGTTTGGCTCAGTGGATAGAGCGTTGGCCTGCGGACTGAAGGGTCCCAGGTTCGATTCAGGTCAAGGGCACATGCCCGGGTTGTGGGCTCGATCCCCAGTAGGGGTCCTGCAGGAGGCAGCCAATCAATTATTCTCTCTCATCATTGATATCTCTATCTCTCTCTCCCTCTCCCTTCCTCCCTGAAATCAATATATATACATATACATATGAGTGTGTGTGTGTGTGTGTGTGTATGTATATATATATATATACACACTAAAAATGCTTTTTAAGAATGTTGATTGTTCAATGAGCACACTTTATCCCATTCATGAAAAAAAGGCACACTAACCATAGGCTTCCAGTCTATAGATGCTGAGGACATGCTGGTCTCATGTCACTGCTCCTTGATGACAATACAACTTAAAGACAAGAAGGGAACAATCAGAAAGAAATGGTATCTACATAAAGCCCAGAGACAACTTCCTATTTAATTGTGAAATGTTACAACTGTTCCCTCTGCGATCAGGAACAAAAGGTGAGAGTGGGCATGTATACGATTGTACACCTGTGAAGGCCTAG